GAGATACGCGTGCCTGATTAAGAACGGCTACTAATCATCAAGTTGTGTGTTAGTAGTTTGTTAGTTTATTACTACTACTACTAATTAACTCCCTGTGTGTTCATTGATTAGTAGTGATTATAACAAGGTAGGACGACTAGTTGGGTGTATGTGAAACCGAGAGCCGTTTTCGACGAGATTGCAAAAGGGATCTCGAGTTCGAGATCGCGTACTAAAAAGCAGCGGTCGGTGGCAGAAAGTCCAAACCAAACCCCCGCCTTTTCTCCATCCTCGTTTATCGATAGCCACCACCGCCGTGGGCATATTCCCGGGCCTTTTCGGGTTGGCTGCCGCGCTCCCGCGTGATCTGCTCGCGGGCGACAGAGGGGAAAACGGCATATCCGGGCGGTGCCGCGGCCGTGCGCGCGGCATATCCGCCCACCGTGGCCGTGGCGTGCGGGGCCAGGTCAGGTCAGGTCACGGCGCGTGATCTGGGCCCGGGCCCCGCGGATGGGGGAACTGATCCGGTGGTGGCGCCCCCGCGCGCGGCTGGTGCTAATTCCGGGGGGCGCGTCACGACACGGCGCCGCGTCAGCGTGCGGGCGCGCGTGCATGGCTTGCTTGGTTGGTTGTTCGGTTTCGCTTGCTCACGTTTTCCTCCTTGCGCTTTTCGGATTGTGACGGGCGACTTCCCCGGACCGGCCGTCCGGCCCCATCATCCTTCTTCTCGGGCCTGTTGTTTAATGGACAGACGATTTGCGTCCTACTGTACAATCCCGTTTACTAATATATAAAAAGTGCTCCATTTCAACTAGTATGGTGGTGTTTGAATCTTACGAAGATAAAGACGAAGATAAAAATTAAGTGTTTCACGTAAAACGAGGTGGTAATAACATATAATTAATTGAGTTTTAATTATTATAAACTTGAAAAATGGATTAATCTGATATTATAGAACAACTTTCATATAGAAAATTTTCGCACGAAACACACTGTTTATCAGTTTGAAAAGCGTACCACGAAAATCCAAAACTTTATCCACTGCTTGTAGTGGAAACGAACTTATAAGAGCAGGTACAATAGCATACTATTAGCCATATTTTAATGAGATAAAAGATGAGAGAGAAGGCAGTGGGCTATAGATTTGTAGCCAGCTGCAGCACGGACTCCAAGACGCAGTGTGTGTATGACAGGTGGGACCATATATTAATAGTATAGTAAGTAACTATTGTATTAATTGGCTATTACATTGGCTATAGATGAATTGGAGCTAATAGTGGGCTATACTATTAAACTTACTCTAAGGCTGTGTTCAGAATACTCTTCTACTCCCTCGTTTTGTGTGCGTGTTTTCCCAATTGCTAAGAGGTGGAATAATATGTTTTTTTAAAAAAGGTCTATAGAAAAGATGCTTTGAAAAATCATATTGATTCATTTTTATTTTTAACTTATACGTAACTAGTTACCCTCTCCGTTTAAAAAAAAAACAAACCTTGAACAGGATGTGACACATCCTACCACTAGAATACTCCCTGCATTCTATAATATAAGACACAACTACTTTTAAAAATTGTTTTCATAATATAAGACATGCATGCATGCATGTCATTAACTAGCACACATTTTCCACTAAAATATTATTATTTAAATCCTCCACCATCAAGATCTCTAATTTTATTAGGTGCATGCGTTCTATTTATTAGGTAATCTAAACGATGAGGTGATAATAATTATTTCTTGATCTTTAGGTTAAGGGTGGTTATGTCTTATATTTTGAAATAGAGGAAGTATGTCACAACATGTTCTAGTTTTAGTTTTGTTTTTCATGAGACGGAGGAAGTATATGCTGATTATTTTTTTAAAAAAATACATAATTTTTTAAAATAAGATGGATGGCCAAACGTTAGATAAAAACCCAAAAAATAAAATCTTTATGGGAAGAAAGGAGTAATTAGGCTGCGTTCAGGAGGAGGGGCTGGGAACCCCTCCTCTTTGGCACGCAAAACGATGTTCACATTAACACGTGATTAATTAAGTATTAGCTATTTTTTTTTAAAAAAAGATCAATATAATTTTTTAAGCAACTTTCGTATAGAAACTTTTTTGTAAAATAAAATTTGAAAAGCGTGCATGCAGAAAACGATGGTGGGGAGTTGGGAGTTCCCAGCAAAGAACGCAGCCAAAAGTTATCTTGTTCTCTATGCGGGATGAATGTGTTAGGTTCACATGCATGCAACTAGCAAGACCCGTACGATCGACCGGCAATCCGGCATGGACAACAACAAGCTTGATGGACAGTGAGGCATCAAAGCTTGATGGACCGTGATGCGAGCTGCATGATCGATCAATAATAGGACCAAAAAACACACGCTGAATAATGTTTTTCCACGAGGAGATGAGACAGCCTTCGTAACCGTGAAGGAAAGAGCCAACCGCGAATCCGCAATGTGCTGCGTGTCAGAGAGGCCACTGGGATCGAATTATGGACAAGAACGCTTTTTCTATGGCCCTAGCTACGGATGGAGCTTGCACCACAAGTTCTGCACCGACAAATGAGATCTCCACTTCTCCGGCCACTACACTTGGCAGTTGGCACCTTTCTCCTGTCCCCACGCCCAGAAAAGCAAGTGCAAGTCCTTCCCTGTATTAACAATTATAGACTTTGGGGTAATCAATGTGCACGAATAATTTGTTATGATTAATAACCTATCCTAAGAGCACCCGCAATGGTAAAGTAAGTTGCTATCTATAAAACATGTACATCTCAGCAATAGACTAGATTAATAGTAAACCACTTCAATGGTATGTCTACAACGGTATCTATAGCTCTCTAATCCATTGTCTCGTTTTTCTCTATAGACTATCTCCAGGTTAGTAGATAGTTTTGCTCTCTCTCTTCATTTAATCTCTTCCAAGTAGAAAAATATGCTGACATGGATCTCTTGTAGAGAGCCTATAGATAATCATTGCGGGTGCCCTAAACAGTTAACACTTTTTATGGCTAAACCAAATGTGTTAGTAAAATAATTGGTTGGTTTGAGGGCCTTTTATAGGGTGGTCACTTAACTCAAAAAGGCCTAGTATTAATTAATTAGAACACTCTGATTAAGACTGATCCTGATTTGCATATATACTAGAATATTGTAATAGTGGAGATCAGTATATCATCACTGACATAAATTACAACAACCATGTATAGGTGCTATTACAAAAGATTGCTAGTTGGACATACGAAGATTAGCATTTGTTCTCTGCCGATGAAGCATCTATGTTCCACTCAACAAAAGGTAGAACATTTAGATTAAGAATATTGGAATTGGACATCTTTAATTGGAAAGGATATAGAGCTTAATTGCAATTGTACATAGAAGTGAATTCCACCTCAACAAGGGTGAGGATGTGCGCATCCATATGAACTACCAACTATTCCTCTCTTTTTTTCCCCTCCCTGTCCACGTACCCAAGCACTCATCTATCTCTCCAACATCCCATCAGGCGTTCACAATTTCATGAGATCTCACTCAAATTTTACATATTTCGAGCATCTCAAGCAAGTTTGGAATGAGATCTTGAGGTTCATTTCAAATGTTTTTGTTCAGAATTTTGTGGGGTTCTTTTTCGAAATTAGCAAAAACAAATTAATGTCTTGTTGAGGCTCCATATTCTCAAGTTTCGAATAAAAATCTGGATGGTTTGAGGAGATGTAGATTCTTGAAGAAGCTATAGCTGATAGAAACTCTCTCAAACAGGGCTATATACCTAACTTTATTCTTCTTAACAGATCTTTTATACATAGTACATTTGTGGTATTCACATCTCTTAAAGGTGCAACTGCTACAAGCTCCCACAGTGTTATATACTAACTTCATTCTCTTTAATAGAACCTCTTCAATTAGCATTTTATACATGGTATGTGAGTGGTTTAAGCCACTGCTATGTCCCTTGACCATCTACTACTCAAATGCCAACTTTACACTTTATTATTTTTGAATGTCTACTTTTGATATTTCCATTCTTCAATTCTGTTTGTAAGCATATATTTGCAAAGTTGTTTATCACCACCATAAAATCCTGTAACAATGCGTGGGGTATCAATCTAGTTTATCTTACAGTAATGAACCCAACGACTCATGGATACATCTATATTGAATAAATACACGAATCTTTTAAAAAGGGGTCTTTTATCCAATATGATTTCTCATTCTCCTTAATAAGGTGGTGTTTACATCCAGGGACTTAACTTTAGTCCCTATCTTTAGACACTAATTTAGAGTATTAAATATAGACTACTTACAAAACTAATTACATAAATAAAAGCTAATTCACGAGACAAATTTTTTAAGCATAATTAATCTATAATTAGAGAATGTTTACTGTAGCATCACATAGGCTAATCATGGATTAATTAGGCTCATTAGATTCGTCTCGCAAATTAGTCCAAGATTATGGATGGGTTTTATTAATAGTCTACGTTTAATATTTATAATTAATTTTCAAACATCCGATATGATAGGGACTTAAAAGTTTTAGTCCCATCTAAACAGGGCCTAAGCCTTTTATTGGCGCGTGATATGTTGTAGTGTACTACGTGAGAAGCTGGCAAGATCAACAGCCCCAAACGTTCCACTTATTTGGGAAATAAGCTAAACAACATATTTGTAATTATATGTGTTCGTAATGTCTAAAAGCAAAGGCTTAAAAAATAAACTTCGATAAAAACAACCTCAAAATCAACTCCAAATTTAAGATTAAAAATTTAAATTTTAGCTGATAAGCATAAGAAAAAGATGAGAGGCTGCAATACTACAGGTCGCTGCTATCAGCATCACATCGATTAATTTGCACATTCCCTGACCGGAGCAGACGTTCGACATTCTTCAGTCGGCCAACCAATGTTCTCCAACCAAATCAATTGGTTTTGCAGAAATAAACATTAATTTACTGAACAGGGAATTGTGCGTCAAAATTCCAACAACGTAGCATCATCTTTCCAGCTCCACCCATTCCAAAATCAATCAAAATTCAAGACCGCAAATAACGCGCTATCATTTTCAAGTAAGGCCACAGAAATTGCACAAACTTAAGTCATCTTATAAGTTACGCTTGATATCTTTGCAGCGAGATTAACTGTTTGCTTAACTGACCACCAATGTTCTCCAAAAATAAAGTACAATAGGACATGGAAACCTCACATGCACAATTAAAACAAAATTATAAGTTTCCTTCAAATCCTCCATCTCGAGGGCCAATTGAAATCCTCTCAGTCAGCATTCAGTCTGCTTTAATCTGCAGCATAGAAGTACAGTTAGCACAATGGCATTTGACAAAGGGCGGGCAAAATTCTACAGTTGAGGGATATTCCAGTCTTTTCCTTCCAAAATCTACAGATGCATGACAAAAAAACTTTACAGTACTTGTTCTTTTGGAACGAGATACTGTGAAATGTTTCACATACCATTCAATAGACAAACTTGCATCCTAAATCATGTCCAATGCAAATATAGTTTCTCCCAACCAAACATTGACATAATGGTATGTTGAAATAGTGAGGCACATTTCATTCATTTATGACCATAGTTCGACACAACCCCCAACCAAACATTGACATAATGGTATGTTGAAAATAGTGAGGCACATTTCATTCATTTATGACCATAGTTCGACACAATTGAATCAGTGCTGATTGAATAAGCGCATGAAACCCTGAGCTTTACAAAGTTCTGTTATACGCATAATGCTACATTGCTACTAGCCCTAAAAAAGTGCATGGTTTTTATTATTGTCCTGGATATTTAACATTTTAGAGAACATGTACAATATGAAAATTCATAAATGCTTAAAAGGGCAAAAAACATAAAGAATTACTTTGTGATATAGAAGTATATGGACGTACCCTTCTGACAGGTTCCTGCTTTGTGGACATATCTAATCTTGAGGCTTCATAGCCGGGAATAGAAGAACTTCCTGAATTTGCATCAAAAGAGCATTTTAAATACCTCAACTGAATAAAGACCAAATAAAAAATGCCAGGAACAAAAGTACAAATGAAGAAATAATTAGACCTTGATATTCTGAGAATCAGTCAGCAACATTGTAAGGCGATCAATTCCCAATCCCCAACCACCAGTCGGTGGTAGGCCATACTCAAGGGCTGTGCAGAATGTTTCATCCAATGCCATAGCTTCATCATCACCAGATTGACGATCCTGGCACATAATATACGTAAGAACATGTACAGTTTTTCAGCAAGCCACATAGGAAGCTAGGGAAACACCATGCAACAATAAATCTGCCACTGGTGTAAGGGTCCATACTCTGTTTGTCTGTTTGACACTTCATATCCCACCCTTCCAATGACTTACCACTACTTTTAACAATGCAAACACAAGTGTGTGTATATATATGATGGATCCAAAACTCCCAAGCATAATGAGTACGCTGGTTAAAATGATGGACCAAAATATACCACATATGGGAGTAGGTTGGTTTCCAACAATTATATACTATGCAAAGCTATTTAGATGTTCCAAAATACCAAAAATAACTCGAAGCTTGGGAGCAGGCTGGTACCAAAGAAAAATATACAATTTGCAAATGTTCACAAAATCTAACAAGTACCTTTAGTTGTTCCTCAAACCGTTGCCTCTGAACAACAGGATCATTTAACTCTGTATATGCATTGCACACCTAAAAAATGGATTTCATAACACTGTAAGGAAACAGAAAGGAGGACAAGTATGAAAGTATCAATGAAGACTTAGTATATACCTCATGCTTGTTAACAAAGAGCTCAAACCTCTCAGTCAATCCAGGTCGAGACCTATGCCACTTTGCCAATGGACTCATTATCTCTGGATGGTTGATAATAAACGTGGGATTCACACATGTCTCCTCCAAGAAATGGCCAACTAGCTGTTAGAGCAGAGCATATACCTTATTAATTTGGCTAAGGAATACCAAAAGGGAAACAAAAGCAAAAGGTATATTAAAATTTAAGCAAATAGCTTCAGGTTGGATTTTGCAATATACCCCAGATCTTTTATTTGTTTGTGAGCTAATGTGAAAATGTTCAGAAATGTACTGTACATTATGGAAGCAACAAAAAGGATTACACCGGACATTCTTCTTCATATCAAAGTGGCTAGCTTATCATATATGTAAATAAGATATTATAAGATAGCAAAATCACCTAACGAAAATCATATCAAAATACAGTGTAAAAAGAATGTGTAGTGGGTAAAGAAACAACCTTATCAAGCAACCGTGTTGTAGTCTGGGGAGGTGGGCATTTGACATCATATTTGGCACAGGCATCTATCAAATACTTGTTTGCTTCATCACTTGAGAGATCTTTAGGTATATTGAGTTTAGCCATAGCCTCTAATTCTTCAATCATGTCTATCTTTCTGCAGCAAGGTAAAGGCAAAGTAACATTGTAGCAACTGAACATTACCAGTTAAAAGTGCATATAGAGCAATACATGTAATCCAAATACATCCCAATGTCTCTACCTGAAGGGAGGTGTGAAATCAATCTCTATTGGTGGTTTCTCAACTCCGTTAGCATGATATTTAATCTTGTAGCCACCTGTCAACTCCTTAACCATACCTGTCAACCATAAAATCAGATCATTAGATAAAATGAACAGGCTGCTTCATGTTGATTTCAGTAAAAACAAGATAGGACGGCAAAAAAATGATATGACAGAACAATAGCAAATCATGAATTGCCTACGGAACAAGGAAAATGCATTTAGGTCATTTTGCAGTTGCATACAAAATTGACATGAAGATACTATTACTTCCTAAAATAAAAAGAAAAAAAAGATGTTTCAGAGACATCAAGAGATAATCACCAGATAACATGGTTTCAGTAAGCTCTATCAAGTCATTGTAATCTGCATATGCCATATAAAATTCACATGTTGTGAATTCAGGATTGTGCGTCAGGTCAATTCCTTCATTCCTGAACTGCTTCCCAATTTCATAAACACGATCCAGCCCCCCAACAACCAATTCCTTCAGATAGAGCTCAGGAGCAATACGCATATAAAGCCTCATGTTTAACTCATTATGATGTGTGACAAAAGGCCTTGCAGCTGCTCCACCTGCAATCATGTTCATCATTGGAGTCTCCACCTAGAAAAGACATAGAATATTCAGATTTGAAGGACTGGAAGAATATACAAAAGAAGAATAACAGAATAGATTGCACAGGCCCACCTCTAAAAAGTCAAGACCATCAAGAAATTTCCGAATAAAAGAGACAACTTTTGATCTTGTCTTGAAAATATGCCTCACTTCATGGTTTACCATGAGATCAAGATATCGTTGACGATATCGGGTTTCCTGATATCACAAGACAAACAATTGATAATCAAATCGCTACTAAGCACCAAAGGCAACAAGACAGATATATAATTGATAATCACTGAGTGATCAAGCTACTTAAAGCAACCTGCACCAAATTTATGATTTGCTCATGTAAATTAGAAATGCAGATTTTTAAATAGAATGAATGCATGAGATAGTCAATAAAATTGGACAGATTTCTATTAGCATGCCAAATATGGCATTCATGTCAGCAAATGAGTTCACTAATTTTAAGAACATTGCAAATCTCTCTTAATGGACTAGACATGCGCCACCTATCCACTTGTTCAGATAGAATCTGATCCCATGATTAGTTCATCCACCTGAATCTAACTTTGCACTAAATTGCATAGCTGCCTCAATCTAAATTTAAATGATTTTGTTGTGCATACAACAAAGCGGATCACATATGCACATCCAGAACCTTAAAATCCGCCTAGATATTTGTTAATTATGATTAATCACACTACCGACAATGTATTTACTTGCTGACAAAGAACTCACAGTAATTAGCATTTACATAGACAAGAGAGGTCAATCAATAATTATACGGAGAATGAACAAACCTGGTCCCTCAAAACATACTTTTCGATGTTCCTACCCATTCCTGGAGCCCATGGAGTGGGAACAGCACTTCCCTCACTCTTCTGTAAAGATGTATACAATACATGTAAATGATCATGTAGACTACATTTCAACAAATATAATTAGCATAAGAACTTGGAAGGAAAGCAAAGGGTCAATGGTTGGGTGTACACGAAATATTTTGATATCTCAGAAGCTTGGCATGCTGGACTCAGCAGTTGGGTGTTTTGCAGTTCAATCGTGCATGCAAAATGCCAACGTTCAATCCTAGCATCAAGTCAAGCAAGCATGGCTCACTATATACTACACACATGCAAGTGCAGGACACGCCCATACTCCATGAGGTGATGGACAAATTATGCATTTATCTATGCCTCTACTAGTCCTAGAATGCGTAGCACGTAACAAATGCATAAACAGGTGTGAGTGAGTGTCTGTATTGCATTGCACTTGAGAAAAGAAGCTAGGCAAATATGAGGTGCATTTGTGGGTTTAATCAAATGACCTGTCTGGGGTCTGCAAACCAGAATAATGGCTGTTGTGCTTTCTTGTGCTGCTAATGTGTATGTGACACCCAGAAAAAGAGAAGGCATCGCTACGCAAAATGTCTTTAGTTTCAGTCATAATTATTTGGGTCAAGTCCGATTTACCCCCTCAACTATCACAGAAGTACGACTTACCCCCCTTAACTACGAAACCAGATATTGGACACCCCTAAACTATTCAATCCGGATACTTAACCCCCCTGGGGCTCTTTTTTAGGTGGTTTCGATCTAAAGCTATCACACATGACAGTCCAATATGAGGGAGGAGGTGCATCATCAGCAACATGCTTCTCCCTCTCCATGGGACCCAGCAATCAGTGGCATGCACTTCTTCCTCTATCCTTTCTGTTCCAATCTCTACCCAAGCCTGTGTAAGCACTAGCTCACCTGCAGCCCTCAAGATCCACAAGACGGTTGTTGTCATACGTACATGTAATCAAGCTAGATAGTTCTGAAAAATCACTCTTTGAAAAAAAAAAACTCCAAGAAATCAAAGCTGCTCTCTCATTCGCACATGTAATGAAGCGGAGGTGGTCTGTGACGACCATGAGACAGCCGGGGAGGACAAGCTGCCGTCCCCGGCGTCCCCGCTCCACGGCCTTCGGAGCCAGAGTGTCTCCGTCCTTGCTGGTGCTTCAGCTCCCTGGCAGTGGCGGCTAGCTGCACCTGCTGCTGTGCAGCTGCCATGGTGGCATACTCCGGCAGGGGCAAACATATGCTCCCCACAACCACCACGAACTGTTGCACGGGCACACTGATGGAGGCGAGGCGGTGCCAGCGCTGCTATGTCCCGTCGAGCACTCAAGCTCGGCCGTCTCAAGCAGGCCGGAGCACTGCTTTGAGGCGCTTGTCCATGGACTTCCTCCGAAGCAAGGAGCACTGAGACTAACGAGGCAAAGGATCTGGCAGTTTGCAGCCCATGCCTAATGTGAGAAATGGGAGAATGGGCGGAAGAAGACAACTAGGTGGATGACAATGTGGGCTAACATATTTTTTCCTAAAAACAATTGATTGTTTTTCTGACTGGGTTGCCACATGGTCAGATTATTGCCACCTGTCTGCCACATAGGACAAAACCACCTAGATTATGTTTAGGAAGGTAATTCGTACGGTTCCAAAATTTTAGGGGTGTCAAATGTCCGGTTCTATAGTTAGAGAGAGAGAGGGGGGATGGGGGTAAATCAGACTTAACTCTAGTTATTTTATGGTCTCTATGTTAGTATGTACAGATTTAAATATAAAAGTTCAGATTAATATGAAGTAAATTGCTCTGAGATATTAGGTATATCATCTGGAAACATCTCTTCCTAAAAAAATCTGATTCTCACCTGTCGAGGCATCATATGAAGGCATGGGGAGAGCACAACAATTTTCTTTGGGAATATACTGAGCTCCCCTCTCTTGCTCTTTCCTGGTATTCATCAAAATTGAGAAGTCGTCATTATCAGACACAGTAAAACAATATAAGAATTTCCAGTAACCATCAAACTATTTATACTCCTAATTGTTTTAAAACAAACAAACTGTACAATCAAGTATGGGCATAAGCTACAAATAAAGTTTAAGTTATTTATTAAATAAAATTACAAACTCAATCAGATAAGGATCCATGTACTCAAAATGTCCTATTGGCATTCCAACTGAAAGAATATAAGTACCTACTTAATTTTGATGTTGGAACATCTGACTATGTAATAATTTCAAAATGAACTTGAATAGATGCTTACAAACCTGGATAACCACATACACCAACAATATCACCTCGTTTCAGAGTAGAGTGAAACTTAATGAATTCATTATCTTCCAACTCTGAGGTCCTATATCAGGTAAAATCAGTTAAATCATTAGTTTACTTTTTATGAGACCGACAACAGTAGGCAGTAACCGGCGTAGTACTTAAACATGAGCGAAATGATAGCCACTAGATAACAACGATAGCCACAGAACCGTTAGTCAAAATAACAAAAAAGAATGCACCTTTTTGTTTGTTTAAACATTATAACTAATAGAAAATTGCAAGTCAGCAAGCCCCCAGACTTTATGAGATATGGATTGTATGCAACCTCGTGTATTTTACACTTTTACTATGTACAAGCATACATACTGTTATGTGCATAATCATGAAGCATATTACCCAAGTTGGGAAAGCATGCAAAAATAACAAGAAGAAAAATTCTAAGCATTAACATGTACAAAACAAGAAGAAAACCCAACTATGTAAAAGAAGGGGGGTTTTGTGCATAATGTGATTATTGCCAATACGGACCACACATAAGTAGCCAGCTATGCCAAGCATGAGTAGCACCCGGCGTACTATTGACACATTTGCAGGAAGATAATAAGCTACAGAAACCTTGCTCTAAATCTATGACATTCATCACAATCCATGGCCTAGCATATGTTTATAAAGTTGCAGTGAGAATTCTTTGGCAATAAACTTTATGAAATTCACCAATGTTGAAAAATATATTTAACTGATACAAACTTTATGAAATTCACCAACATTAAAAAATAGATTTAACTGATATGAAAATTAACCAAAGGATGCATTTTAGTCAGGCATATCTGCACATAGTGAGATTTTAGTGAAATGCTGAAAGTGTCTGGGAACAAACCAGCTAAATGGCATAAAAGGTAAGCAATACAGTTGAACAGACAAAGTTTTACCTGGCATCAGCAAAAACTTGAACTTTCTCACCACCACCATAAAGATCATAAAATAAGAGCTTGGAAGATTGCGCTCTCTTGGTCATGATCCTCCCTTTAATAAAAAATAATAATAAATACAAATCCCACCCAAATGTATCTCTAATCAACTACACTATCATATCTAGTCAAAGAGAACGAAAAATACCTGCTAGGCACTCGGTGACGTCAACAAGCTTATCCCCAACATTCATGCTCTTGTATTTCTCAATATAATCGGCTACGGTAATATTAGCCAGGAACTTATGGGGATAGGGGTTTACACCCGTGGCCTTGAGTGAATCAAGTGCCTTGAGGCGATTCTCATAATATTGCTGCAGCAAGAAACACATGTCTGAATTTTCCTAAACAAAAGAATTCAATACAACAAATAGCACAGCAGCACCAAAGGGGCATCAATATCACATACAGTGGGATCCATTTCCTCATCGTCGGCGGCAGATTCCTTCGGGGGCTCTCCACTAGCAGCTGCTGTTGCAGCGGCCTACAAAATTTTTTTTAAAAAAGGGTGTATATATATTTAGAGCTTAGCAATCATGATATGGAAAACTCTTTCTCACACCCTAGCTGCAGAGGTATATCCGTATCTAACAAGAGCAAAGAGTGTTGCTTGTCACATTGGCATCATCTACAAATGAACGCATCCAAAACTCGCTCCATAAAAACAACACTGGAAAAAAATCGGCAAAGGTTAAGAAGTTCAAACTGCTTCACCTTCTTCTTCTTCTCTTCCTCCTTCAACCGGCGCTCCTCCTCCTGCTTCTTCCTTTTCTCCTCCCTCTTCTTGGCACTGCACCCGCCACAAAACTCATATTAAACAAAAGCCACACTACGGAGGAAAAAAAAACAATAAGAAGAAATGCCGGCTGCGTGCGCGATGAGAAAGCGCACTTCTTCGAGAGCTGCTGCGGCTCCTCGCCGCAGCCCGCGGAGAGACCCGCCAGCTTCTCCTCCAGGCCCGACGAGCCCGACTCCGCCATGCCGCGCCGGTCTCCTAGGTTTTCCACTGAATCGAAAGAGATCGAGGAGATGAGGCTCGCGAAGCGGAGGCGCAAGGGAGAAGGGGGGTTTAGCTAGGGTTAGGCGACGCTGCCGCCGCCGCCGCCGCGACGTCACGGAATAAAAAGCCCTGGATTCTCACTTTCTCACATGGACTAGGCCCACGAAACCTGCTTTAAATGGGCCTGGATTAGACTACGCGGGCCTGGCCCATGAAATGCGCTTTGCTTGGGCGAATCGCAAGGCGATTACGCCGTGGACGAGACGAGTGAGAGGAGGAGAGCGGCCATGGCGGGGCGGAGTGGCGGCGGCGGCGGCGGGAGCTCCGGGAAGAGCGGGACGGGGAGGATGGTGTCGCTGCAGGAGTTCGTCTCGTCCATGGCGCCTCTCATAGACCTGGAGAAGGTTCCGTACTCCGATCCCCCATCGCTTTTCTTTCGCTGTTTGGTTCGGAAGGTGGAACGGATGGTAGTGGTGGTGGGTGGTGACGCGTCTGTGGTGTGGTTGCGCAGGCGGCGGAGATATCGGCGGAGTCGGCGACGAGCTCGAAGACCCTCGAGAGGAGGGGTTGCGTCATGGCCAACCTCAAGTGCACCGACGCCCAGGTTGATTTGCTTCCATTTTGCTGCTTGCTTGCTTGCCCATCGGTGCCAATGTGTCATCGAGGCGTGGTGCTAATCTTGTTCTGGCCTTGTTGGACCTGCTTGGTGCGTAGAGTAGACGGGGCTGATGGGGAAGACGCTCCTGGAGTTCCAACCCAACAAGGGCGACGTGCTTCCACCTCACAAGGTGAGGTTACCTTTGCCCTCCTGTCGTATTGTTGTTATTGCTCGCTGTGATAAAATTCTGGTTAGGAATTTATTTGTGGTATGTGAGAGCGGTTTGTTTCAGAACAATTGTCGCTTCAGGTATTGCCGTCGAAACTCACACTTGCAGTATTTCTGCCATTTGTTTAGTAATTGTGAACAAGTAATGTTGTTGTTAACTGATAGTTTCAGTGAAATATTAGATTCGTTTGTAAAGTTCATTATGAATTGCATCACGTGTATTATTGATTTTGTTGAGATTGGCAGGAGTTGATACATGAAAAGCTCATGCATGTTTCTTAATTTACCGGACACTGATTCAAAGAAATTTGTATTTTACTTCACCATTGCTAATGCCCACTTATGTTTTTCTTCTCTAGTTTGGAACACACGATGTGGTTGCTCTGAAGCCAAATAAGGCAGATGCTGGATCTGCTGCTCTTGGGCAAGGTGTAGTTTATCGCTTGAAGGTACCTAACTATCATCTAAGGGCTGTTGACTATTTAAAGTCTTTGCTTCTGAATTAGGAGAAATGACTGTAATTTGAACAAACAGGATTCTTCCATTACTGTTGCCTTTGATGACATTCCTGAAGATGGATTAAATAGCCCTCTCCGCCTTGAAAAGCTTGCAAATGAGGTATATTTTCCATGCTGTTTTCATTACTATTTGCAAATGACATTCCATTACTGTTTTCTTCTCTACTATATTTTCCATGCTCTCTCTTACAACTTTCTGATTAGAAATTTTATAGCCTCCAAGTAACCATAATAGTATAATTGTATCATAATTCCTCTTTGCTTTTTTTTTATCTCCATGTATGTATTTCTATATATCTTCATTATTGCCCCTTGTCCTCCAGCATTGCCTTACAATTCATTGGACCCTAAATTTTGCATCTTAATGCTCTTCTAGGTGACATACCGCAGGATGAAGGATGCACTAGTTCAACTTAGTAAGGGCATTCAAACAGGCCCTTCAGCAAACCTTATTCCTGTTTTGTTTGGAGAAAACCCACCTATGAGTTCCAAGGATGTTGCGAAGTTCAGTCCATTTAACAAGAATTTGGATGAGTCACAGGTTACAATTTGATTTATTTTTTTCAACTGCTTTTTTTTGGCTTGTTGCATAATTATGTTTCAGTTAAGTTCTTATCTAAATAAGGAGAAGAGAAGCCATAAGTACTTGGGGCCTGGAGAAATTTATCAGAACAGTATGATCTACAATAGAATTTTCCAGTGCAATCACTTTGTTCTGCTGATACTATTTCAAGTATCAGTAGAATTTGTATTTTTAACTTATTAAGTACCAGAGGAAGATCTGAAATTTATTGAATGGCAGACACTCATGATTTTAAGAAAATAAAAGAACATATGGAACTAGGCAAATAACGCTAACACCAGCACCTGCAGTTTCAGACTGTGGACATTCCATCACTTTTGGCATTACAACTTACAACCAAATGTGTCAACACCGTCATCGATTACATATAATTCTTGCACCTGCTAATACTGGCTTTGGAAGACCTCATCCTGAGTAGTAGCATATATTTGCAATACTTCTGTTAATGGTGTTGCTTTTGCTTCGGTGAACTCCACAGCTAATTATGCTGGCACTGGTGTTTGGCCTCCACATTTTTTATTTTCTTTGCTAGAAATTGATTGTTTAATAAAAATAAAAAAATTACAATTGATGCCTTTTGTCTTTACCATGTATATCTACTTGTTATGTTCTTTTTTGTATCGCCTTCAAATACCAGTTTCAATATGTATTCAAATGAAATAAATTTCCTTTTTGTGGGGCCCATATCTTTGTTCTGCAGAAAGATGCTATCTCGAAGGCCCTCAGGTCAAGGGATGTTTTCTTGCTTCATGGACCTCCTGGCACTGGGAAGACAACAACTATCATTGAGATAATATTGCAGGAGGTGAAACGTGGATCAAAGATTCTTGCTTGTGCTGCTTCTAACATCGCCGTGGATAACATTGTTGAGCGACTCTCCCGATATAGGTTGCTAACAAAATTTTGAAATACCTTTTTAACTCGAACTTTCTATTCCCCCATCTATCTTGGTAATGTTGACCATTTACCTCATTCAACCAATAATAACTGAGAAAATTCTCCCTATCCTGTCAAAATAAAAGATGTGATATTGGTTAATGTGACATGTTGTTATTGACATTTTTCTAGAACCAAATTGGTGAGGTTAGGCCATCCTGCTCGATTACTACCCCAAGTGTTGGACAGTGCTCTTGACGCACAGGTATAGCTTACTCTGAGTGCTTCCTTTTCTCCTCTACTGAGGATTATTAGGATAAATATTCATGAAGGTTATGTTCCATAATTATTTCATCAGAGTTGCTTTGTCTCTTTCAATTTTCAACTGTTATATTTATTCAAATACCTTGTTAAAGTGTACCCGCCTACGCCTTATGTGACATCTGTAACATCTGCATGACATTCTCTTTATGCCCAAGTTAAAATGGGATAGATTTTCTTATGAATTACAGTTCCACCTGTATTATCTATGATCCATTCATGCATTCACATAACTTAACTGTACTTAATCTGCTTACTATTTCTAATGAACCAGGTATTGCGAGCAGATAACAGCAGCTTAGCAGGAGATATTCGCAAAGAAATGAAGGTAATCATTTACTACATAATTCTTAGGTTCCTATTATTAAATGGCAAGACCCTGCTTTACATGGCATATTATTTTGGCATTTCAGGAACCATCTAATTAGAAGCTGTCATGTTTAGATGATAGTAATGAAACTGCAATTTCAATAATGTTTTCCATTGTAGTTAAATGTTTCTTGATTTGTTCTCTTTTCATCTTTTAGGTGCTTAATAGCAAATTGCTGAAAGCTAAGGATAAGAATACAAAAAGGGACATCAGGAAAGAGCTCAGAACCCTTGCCAAAGAAGAGAGAAAACGACAACAGCTTGCTGTTGCTGATGTGATAAAAAATGCAGATGTTGTACTGTCGACTTTGACTGGTGCATCTTCCAAAAAGCTAGATGGTATTACATTTGATTTGGTCATTATTGATGAAGCTGCTCAGGCACTTGAGATGGCATGTTGGATAGCCTTATTGAAGGTTAATACTAACTTATGACTAGTTTTTTTTTTCATGTTGCTGCACGTTTTGAGAATGATGATTGCTGTAAACAGTCATCAAAGGTTCTCGTATTATTTATGCTTTTTTGAGTAGCACAATAAAGATAGCATGTACTGTTTCACAAACTCCCACCTTTAACTTTAAGCTTAAAATATGTCTTAACCAAGCCAGCAGTTGAGCATGATCACACGGGTTCAATTTTAAAAGTGCATGGTATAATGAGAACGAGATGCTGCATTAGGTGTCCATTTTAGAGCAAAAGGAAGGATTATGAGAGAAGTTGGGAAAACTAAATGATTTCCTTGGAAGATAGCTAAACTTAATTTCAATAGGTGGTTACACGTACTTGAATTCATTCTATCAATCTTGTATGGATGTATGTAAACTCTAACAAGTTCTCATGACCCCTGTGGGGCTCCTTCACACTCCACAAGTTGGCTTCTCTGATTATGCCAGTGAACAATTTCATCACCTATTTGATTGCTTGTGTTTGTCATGATTCAGCATGCACAGCGCGTAGGTTAAATGGTCATCATACTGTACTTATTGAGATCTGTCATAGGGCTCCTCAGTTCTTTTGTTTTTGTATGCAGGGTCCAAGATGTGTGCTTGCTGGAGACCATCTTCAACTTCCTCCGACTATCCAAAGTGCTGAGGCTGAGAAGAAGGGGATGGGAAAGACACTCTTTGAACGCCTTACTGAAGCTTATGGAGATCAAATTACATCCATGCTCACTATCCAGTACAGAATGCATGAGCTCATAATGAATTGGTCATCTAAAGAACTTTATAATAACAAGGTGCACTTCCCATTGGTGTTTTTACACTAGCCACCTATTAGTAACTTGTTTTCACTAGCCACCTATTAGTAACTTGTTTTCAGCCTCTCTCTTTAGTCCATAACTTTCCTCATGTTGTTATTTCTTTGTTTCTTGTACTTAGATCAAAGCTCATAACTTTTCTCATGTTGTTATTTCTTTGTTTCTTGTACTTAGATCAAAGCTCATTCTAGTGTTGCTGATCATATGCTCTATGACATTGAAGAAGTGAAAAGATCTTCTTCCACAGAGCCGACTATCATACTAATTGACACTACTGGGTTAGTATTCTCCAATGCTTGGCCTATTCAATGTGTTCATTCTTTTAGTCATTTATGGGTTGAACTTGAACCTTGGCAATTTTGCTTCCCTCGTTGCTTTCTTTCCCTCACTCAATAGTGTTGGCTTCCTCTATAAAAGAGTGTCGGCTTCCTCTATATTTCCCTCACTCAATAGTGTTGGCTTCCTCTATAAAAGAGTGTTGGCTTCCTCTATAAAAGATAGGACTACCGAATTCACTTCAAAGGGTTATCTCATACTTGAAGACAATAATTGGGCAGAAGTAATACTTCAAATTTGTAGCCATCATTTGACTGATGAATAAAAGATATCTGTTTTTTTAAAAGAAATGATGTGATGACCAACATCAATGTTTGTTAGATACACTTCTAACAGTCTCAAGTAATCATTTAGGTGTGACATGGAAGAAGTAAAAGATGAGGAGGAGAGCACTATGAATGAGGGTGAGGCTGCAGTATCCATTGCTCATGCCAAGCTGCTTGTTGAGAGTGGTGTCCGTGCATCTGATATTGGAATAATTACACCTTATGCTGCACAGGTTTGCTCCTATATGCTCTGAATATTATCAAATCAATATACAGTGATGAGCTTAATAAAACAAAACAAAATAAACGTTTATAGGACTTATGGGTTGGCTCCTTCATGATGTTGAAGTTTATAGGACTGACTCATTGAATGGTGTAATCCCGTAGGTAACCTGTCTGAAGATGATGAGAAACAAAGATACTAAACTGAAGGACTTGGAGATATCGACAGTTGATGGGTTCCAGGGTAGGGAGAAAGAAGCCATCATCATTTCAATGGTCAGATCCAACTCAAAGAAAGAGGTAAGCTCCCTTCCATGATCCTCCTTGGTGAGTGGATATCCTATGTAAAATATTCAGCTTTACAAACATGAATATTATACATGGATGAGGATTTGATTGCTGCTGCACAGTTGATCCATCAAATTAGCATCTGGGGAGACTTCAACTTATTTTAGAAAAATGTTTAATAGAATAGAGCGAATCAGTATCGATATGATGTGAACGATCTGTAGATATATGTGCATGCCATGCAAAATATCTCATTATTGACATAAGGACGAAATATCATTTTTAAAATAAAAGGACTGTCTGATTGAACTACTGAAATAAGAATTCACAATTATATTACCTGGATACTAAGGAAACCTTATCTATTTGCAAATTTCAGGTCGGATTCTTAAGTGATCATAGACGAATGAATGTTGCTGTAACACGAGCCAGAAGGCAGTGCTGCCTAGTGTGCGATGTAGAGACCGTAAGCAACGACAAATTCTTGAAACGCTTGGTTGAGTACTTTGAGGAGAACGGGGAGTACTTGAGTGCATCAGAATACCAGAGCTGATGACTTGGGGTGTTAACCCTTAACCGTGATAGCCCGTGCTTATCGCAAAGATAGTGAAGAGATATATCCAAACGATGCTTGTGATAGGAACATCGTGCACTTCAAACTGGTGCAATATGGCCAATGGAGATACTGTCATTCGACTTTTATAGATTGGAAACAGATCGCTGTGAGACTGAACAGATAATTAGCTCAGGAGTGGATCAATTTCGTCTTGACTGGCCCTGTTCTGGTCTCTTCTTCTGTGGCTTATGGAAATGAAACCTCAGTTATGTGTTTTTATATGTCCGTTCTTTCAGCTGATGTACAATGATAGAAGACTAATTTTATTCATCCATGTGCAAATCTACCATAGTTTTTTGCATGGAGTTTTGAAACTTGGGTCCACAAAAATAGTAATAATAGGATAGGAGGTTGACTGTACTGAACTTCGCATGATAATTAATCTGTATCTCATCCATCTTGCTTATTTTCACAATGTCGCCCAAAATACCAAATGGCATCTCTTCAGCATAGATTTAGTTTGTGCCATATCCATACCATTGTGGATGTCTTGAGAAAAGCGATGATTTATCGATGGAGCAAGTAGAAGAGAACCGCATGCGATGCCCATTCTAAAGTTAAACTGGTAAAGTAACATCATGGAATGGAGGGAGTACTGAAGGAACAAGAGAATATGCCTAGTGTCAGGTGTGTAGAAGGATTCCTGCTTTGAGGGAAGATTCGCAAGAAGATACCTATGCAAAGCACAATCCGTGAAATAAAGCGCAGCGCCAAACCTTTTCTCCTTTTCTTTTTTCTTTCTTTTTGGCAGTTTTAGTTTCCAGAAATGTTTTAGATGGTGAACTCCAGGAATTACCGGTTTGGTACCAAAATAAAAACTTTTTTTGGTGTACCAAAAATCTCTAACTTAAGATAAAATTTAAGATAAACGATGATGGTGAGTCTCGAGCCTACACATGACTAAAATTACCCATATATGCTATCGTAGTCTACACATCACTAATGTTGTGTTCGTTTCGTATAGTTGGGAACACATGTCCTCCGCACGGAAAACGGAGCAGTCCATTAACGCGTAATTAATATAAGTATTAGCTTTTTTTAAAAAAAAATGGATCAATATGATTTTCTTTAAGCAACTTTCATATAGAAATTTTTTTTCAAAAAAAACGCATCATTTAGCAGTTTGAAAAGCATGCGTGCGGAAAATGAGGGAGATGGGTTGGGAACACTGATAAACGAACTCAGCATAAATTGACCACTCTTATTCTCGACATTGTCATCATCACCAGCTCTATCACCGATATTTCGAATGTAAAAGAATTTATGTTTTTAACTCGAGACACCACATAGTTCACATCAATCATGGGCGTATAACTTGTTTTTATCATGCGACTGCTATTTTCTATTATTTAATGAAAATCCAGAAAGGAATAGAGGCCATTATATCCTTCATCGTCTGTTGCCACTGCCTGCAGTAGAGCTTTCTTAATTGCGACTCTTTCAACCTTGGCTTCATGCCCTATATGGGCAAGCAATGAGACTACGCTAAACCGACGATGCAGCAAGAATGGATTAGTGCACACATCAATACAATCAAGGAACTTCTAAGTTATCGGTGTAGGCACGGAATAGAGACTCATTGAAAAAGGTGTGGGCCACCATTGGTTGGCATATGCTGTTGCATATCAGCACAACCAGGCTGATGCTTATCAGCATAAGCTTTTCTATCATCTCATGCTACAGTCCAAGGAGCCAACCGATGAGGTCAGTCGTGACAATGGGAAGGTGGCGAGAGAGAGAGGAAGCGGGGAACAATATTTATAATTTTGATGAAATTCGGTCTGGATTACACTGGATTGAAAACATAAACCGTTTGGTTTATAAACCGTTTGGTTTATCGGTCAAATAAAAAAATCAAACTAAAATTTTAGATAAGATTTTGTTCAAATTTTATCGGTTTTTGTTGGAACTATGATGAGGGCATAATCGTCTATTCCTTTCCAGATTTTGATTCCAAGAGAACTGAAAAATAGGCTGGAAAGAGCTTTCTCTTCCAGAAATACCCCAAGCTCAATTTTCTTCTCTACACAACCGAAAGGTGGAGCGTTGGCGAAGGACCAACCAATTTCCTCTCTCTAATCGCCGCGGCGGGGGATAGATTGGGAGTGAGCGCGTATGGCGGAGGAGCAGTTCCTCGCCGTCGCGGTGGACGCCGCCAAGAACGCCGGCGAGGTATGCCCTCTCCTGAACCACTCGATTCCTCCCTTGCCCCCTCCTCCCTGTGCACGATTCCTCGTGTTTTTCTTTTTCCTTGTCCGTTCTTGATTTCCTGGTGCTTCTCCGCAGATCATCCGCAAGGGCTTCTACCAGACCAAGAACGTGGAGCACAAGGGCCAGGTCTCTCTTCCTTCTTCCACGGTTCCACCGATCTCATCGCATTCCTTTTCCCCATAGCTGATGGAGTTTGGTTTGCCCTGGATTGGAATTTGGGGTTTCTTGGTGACCGTGGCTGCATTGCAACTGCAGGTGGATTTGGTGACGGAGACGGACAAGGCCTGCGAGGACCTCATCTTCAACCACCTCCGGAAGCACTACCCGGACCACAAGTTCATCGGCGAGGAGACGTCCGCGGCGCTCGGCGCCACCGCGGACCTCACCGACGACCCGACCTGGATCGTCGACCCCCTCGATGGCACCACCAATTTCGTCCATGGGTAATTATTAGCTTCTGTTTCTATCCCCATTATACCACCTTCTTTCTTTTTTTTAATGAACATTGGGTATGTCAATCACATTGCAGCTTCCCTTTTGTTTGCGTCTCGATCGGTCTCACCGTCGGGAAAATTCCTACTGTTGGAGTTGTGTACAACCCCATCATGAATGAGGTAAAAGTGACATGTGAAGCATTTACATCGCAATTGGATTGAAGGACATAGGCTATTTCCTTCTATGTACCAATATGTAAAAATCACAGCTTATTTGTCTCTATAGGATTTATATTCTTATTGTTCATATGCCGACTTAGTTTTGTAGTCTAATTTCATGTTACCTTTTCATTTAGCTTTTCACAGCTGTTCGTGGAAAAGGTGCCTTCCTCAATGGTTCTCCAATCAAAAGTAAGTGCTATATTTTGGTTAATTGGGTCCTGATGTGTTGACATTCAATAGAAGCAACATATTGAACTTAGACAGTTTCCTTCTCTGCTGAGCAGCTTCATCTCAAAACGAGCTGGTGAAGGCTCTTCTGGTAACAGAGGTAAGTGATACCATCAAGAGTCAATTTTATTACATGTAAAGAAATTTAATTTGTATTGATGATGCATATGCGTAGAAAAATCAATAGGATTTCATCTCAACCATGTTGTTCTAAATTATTTTGTTGCTTCATTTCACTAATCAGTATAAGCCGTCTTCTGAATAGCTTAAGATTTGGCCGCTACTGTCTTTCCTAGAAAACATCATCGAACAATGTTTGATCGTGTTAACGTGCACTTTGCTTGTTGAATGGTGATATTTCACAACTACTTTTCTAGCAGATGTATAGCTTATGCTTTACTGATGCAAATACTGACAGCATGTACATGACCATGCATACACTCTTTTGAACTAGCATGGAGATTTCATCTAGATATTTGGAACCCCCACACCTGCATACAGACCCGAAAGAAATTCTTGAAAATATTATTATTTTCTGAACTTTAAAGAGTTTGGACACAATCTAACCAAAAGTTAACTCCATGTGACTCAATGTTTTTGGGATTTGTGATCCATTCCAACTTGATTTAATTCAATATTCCACACTCAAGTAATTATGTTGGTTGAGATGACCATAACCTTATCGATTAAATACTAATCTAATCATGTCAACTGGATTTTGTGGAATACCACATTATCTCTTAAAACAATAGTTGAAATATTTATGGTAACATATTAATTGATTCTTAAACATTGGCTAAGTTGCCCATTTCGGGCTTCCTGTTGGAGTGTGATATTCTTTTTTTTCCTGGGGCTGTCCAATTCATATTGATATATCAATATGAATGTATAACACATGCTACACTGGATGCAATTAGTTTCTTGTGAGCCTCTTTCGTACTTGATCAATCATCAGTGACAAACTTCATTGATTCTGAAACTTGATTTACTTACAATGGAAATGAGAGTTCTAGTTTCTATTTCTTGAATCATTTTCATATAAAAGTTTTACATCATAATATTAGTGAAAATATTTGATCAATAACCTTGTGCCAATTGAGCAGGTTGGAACCAAAAGAGATAAGGCCACTCTGGATGATACAACAAACAGAATCAACAAGTTACTATTCAAGGTAAGCCTTATAAGTTATACACCAATATTTTCATGACATACAATTATAGTTCAACAGATCGGTGCACTAAAATGGTATATTTCATTATTTCAGATTAGATCTATACGGATGTGTGGCTCGTTGGCCTTGAACATGTGTGGAGTTGCCTGTGGTAGGCTTGATTTGTGTTATGAGATTGGATTTGGTGGCCCCTGGTATGATTAATTTAATTACTACAAATGCAGTGTCTTATGAAAAATATAAACTATCTAAACATATTTTATTGTCAATTCTTCACTCTAGGGATGTGGCCGCTGGAGCTCTGATTCTTCGGGAAGCTGGTGGTTTTGTTTTTGATCCGTAAGTTACACTGTTTAGTCAATGTCATAGTAGAATCAGGCAGCGTGAGTATCTATTATTAATTGTTTGTTCCATTCTGGCTTGTAGGAGTGGTGGGGAGTTTGATCTGATGGCACGAAGAATGGCAGGATCAAACAGCTATCTGAAGGATCAATTCATCAAAGAATTGGGAGATACAAGTTGAACAACATATTCCTCAACATGAAGTAGAATAAGAATATAAGATCGCCCTGCCAATTTTATTGGGGCAAATTTTCTTTCTAGTGGTTCTGCATAAACAGCATGCCTGTTGCGGAAAAGTTTTGGACGCAGTATGGCATTGTATTGTTTGAAACTTTTTTTTTTTTGGCACTACTATCCGGTGTTACTTCGGAAACTAGTGCATCGAAGATTCGAAGTAGCTTAATCAGAATTTTGAACCGAATGTTCAGATGGATTGTGCAATGTGCATTTCCCCCATGATTTCGTCTCCTATGCACATTATGTGGAAGATGTTCCAAAATAATATTATCAGTTATAACCAGGGGCATGTGTATAAACAAATGTGTTTCAAAAAAATCCTGGCTATAACAAGGTAGCATGTCCAAATTCGTAGTATTAAATTCGTAGTATTAGGAAATGTTTTATTTTGTTCAGTTTTTTATATTTTGGGATGTAGGAAGTAGCACAGTAGTATGATCCTACCGATCCTAGTCTTGATGGGAATTGGGAAATAATGGAATTTGGTTGCAACTTGTAAGAACGAAGGATGCTAACTAAGTACTCTTGATGGGAAATATTGGAATTCGGTTGCAACTAGGAAGAATGAAGGATCGTATACCTCTGTGGCAGTGGATCCAGTTGACGGTTGCAAGAGGAAGATGCTTAGCTGTGTGGCAAACTGGCAATGGATGCTAGTAGCTCTGTAGCATTGGTTACAATTGCTCACTTTTCACTAGATGTTGGCAGTACCAACAGCCAAGCAAAGGGAGGCAAAGTTGCCAGCGTTGGGGATCAGGCGTACGGTTTCTTCAAGGGGCCATGGCGGCTGCGGCGCCGAGTTCGGTGGTAGCCGGACTCGTGTCCGGGCTAGGGCTGGCGCGCTCCTCGTTAACGCCCAGCGACGGCCGCTCTCCTTCCCTCTCGCCCCTGCATCCGCCATGGCCCGCGGCCCCGCGGCTCGTCTGTAGGAGCAGCGGAGCCCGGCCCCCCAGGGAGAGAGCCGTGGCCGCCGCCGCCGCCGCCGCAAATTCTCCGCGGCAGCAGCAGCAGCTAGGAGAGCATGAGCATGAGGAGGCTGTGGCAGCGGCGGCCATGGAGCCGGAGAGGAGCAGTCCCCATGAGGTCACCGTCCTTTCTTTCTCCTTGGTTTGGCGATTGATTGATTGGTTGGTCCCGTGCAGGTGAGGGAGGAGATAGCGAGGTGCTTCGATCTCGTGCGCCGCCTCGGCCGTGGCGCCGTCTACCTCGGCTCCTCCAGGGTGCCGCCCACCCATCCCCATTACCTCCATGCCGCCGAGCTCTCAAGGGAGGCAAGCACTTTGCTAGCTGTTCCTCTTCCTTTACTGTCTCTTGCAAGTTACACCACCCTAATCTTTTCAGCTCACACATTAAGCTTGTGTTACATCTTATCTTATTCATGCATATTTTCACGGCCTTTTCGCCAGAAACACACTAATGTAAATTGGTCAACAAACTGGTAGATAAACATCACGCTGCACTAGATTTCGTGCGATTGCTATGACCATCTGTATGTCTAAGTGATGCTGAACTTTCATCACATTACAACAGATAGCTAGGCTGCTGGACTGCACCACATGGTCCGGAGCTGGTCCAGGTTTCATGGATGCTGCCACCCAAGGCGCTCTTGAGGCGGGCAAACCGGTCGGTGGCTTCAAGATTGGCAAGGAGGCGGGTGAATGGACAACCTCCAATTTTCATCCTTACCTGCCATCAGAGTCATATCTCACCTGCAGGTAGCTGGATCGCGGTCGCTTAACTTCAGATTGATTTGAGTGTGTGTCATCGATGCATCATGCATGGGAATCAATTTGGGCTATTCTCCTGGATTTCAGGTTCTTCTCTGCAAGGAAGCATGGGTTAGTTGATGCCGCGGTGCGGAACTGCCCTACCGATAGAACTGCCATCATTGCATTACCTGGTGGGATAGGGACGCTGGATGAGCTTTTCGAGATGATGGCGCTAATTCAACTGGAGCGGATCGGTTCCACGCTTCCAGTCCCATTCTTGCTCCTCAATTATGATTCTTACTACTCCAAACTATTGGACTTTCTGAATGACTGCGAGGAGTGGGGAACCGTTGCTCCGGGAGAAGTAGCATCTCTTTGGAAGGTTTGCAATGGGAATCATGAAGCTTTGGAGTACCTGGCACAGTTCTACAATGTACCTCTTGCTGAAAGAAATTACTGCATATCACCACAGTTGAAGCAGCAGGCAACTTCATAGGCCACAAGTTGACGATTCAGGTTTTTCTCAAGAAATCTTGGAGCAAACTTATTCCGTTTAGTTGATCATTGTAGTACCCCCTACCATTTTAAATTGAATTAGCAAACGTCAAATACAAAAAACAGAGGGAGTACAACCTTTTCACCCCAGTTCTTGAAATAAACTTGTACAGTTGAATTTCAGTCTGAATATCTGATGAACATCAAGGATGATGCAATCAAAGTTTCAGTTACTCAGTGAATTCAAATCTCATATTGGTTCTCAAGAAGTTTTATTTCTTCTCTTGCTCAGCACTTTCTACAATATAATCCTTAACCTGCTACACAAGTGTTTGTTATCTCACAGGGCACAACACACAACGTATGCAACCATAAGAGAATCAACAAGTATGCAAACTCAATGAGATACAAATGACAAAAAAAGTACAATTCTCATACAACAGTTATTGGTTCAAATATTACCCAACCAGAAGGGCATTTGAATAACAATCATATATTCGTATTGGTGTACCTGAACAAACATAAGAAATAGACCAAAGAAAAGCGCGTTTCCTAATTGTCAACCAGGCTCAATTGACAGATCCTCGAGCGAAGCAATCATTCAGACTCATTCATATGCAGATGTAAACGCAGCACGCCAAGATTGATCATCGTCGCATGTAGAAGTGGCATGGTTGTTGTACTCCGGTACATCCTCGCTCTCCTGCCGGTAGAATCCCCCCAGTGCTGACTCCGGCAGCCGGCTGTCCGCAAGGAAGTGCTTCATCGTCTCCATCTCCATCTCGTGCTTCTTCTTCATCTTCTCCAGCTGCTTCTTGAGCTTGTCGTTCTCCTGCTGCATCGCTGCACTCCTCTCCTGCAAATCCAAAGCGAGCAAATCAAATTGTTATCTGTGTACTTGTAGTGTTCAGCAGAACATAGTTTAAGCAAGCAAATTGAATTGTTATCTGTGTCTTTGAACAAACCTTTTCTTGTGTGGATGCCTCCTCTGCCTCTCTCAATCTTACAAGAAGTTCTCCAGCAGCATGGACAGCTTCAGCTGTGTCGCGAAGCTGAATGCGGAGCCTTCTGTTCTGCTCTTTCAGCTGCGCTCTTTCCTTTTCACGGTCAATCCTCACTGTGGACAGCTCTGCTGCAAGGGCAGCAGCGAAAGCCGTCCCGCAGCCCTTCCTGCCTGCCTTGGCAGCTGCCCTCTTCACCTCTGAGATACCTTCCATCACACGGCGGTGCCTCTCAAGAAGATCATTGTACATCTCCTGGAGCTCGGCGTAATGTTCAATTATCCTGGCGTGGCCGTAGATGGCTCGTTGGAGGGCATCATCCAGTTCTGCAGTGCACTTCTTTTCATTGCTAAGCTCCATCTCTGTTTTCTCTGCAAGCATCCGATTTGATTCAAGATCAACTCTCAGCTCTTCAGTTAGGCATATCCATTTGCTTTCAGACTCCATCCATTTCTCCCTTTCTCTGTCTAGCTCATATTCTTGGTCTGTGCTGCCATTCCTCAAATGTTCCAGAAGGCTGACATTTGTGGATTCACCTGCTTGTTGTTTCAGTTGATCCTTCAACCTCTGAATTTCACTAAGAAGTTCTTCCCTGTCATTCACATTCAGCTCACCATGTTGTTCACCAACCTTGGCTTCATCCACTAGTTCTTTTGTAGGTTCCGTACCATCTGAATTTTGAGCATCTTCTGAACACTTCTTATATTGGTCAACCTGCAATGTAACATTGAAAATGTCAGGAAATGGTATCATGCCTGAAGCATACTATTCCTTAGTTCACCATGCTTCGTACCAAATTGCTCAGCTCCTTGATCTTATCGGCCTGTTCTTCACATAAAGCTTCAAGTTCAGTCTGTCTCTTTGAAGCAATTGTTGATGCGGTGATGTCGTCCTGGATGAAGAAAATGTTTTAGTACATGGAAAAACAAGAATATGGGTAGAAGTTTGCCATCACGTAATATACCTTAACTTCTGGTACCACACTGGTGGCTATTACAATCTGCTTTTCTGCATTTATATTATCTTTTTGGTTCCCATCAGTGTCGATCGCTTTTTTGCAGGATGAACAAAGAGCAGAAGATGTTGCTCCTTTCCTCTCTGGTGATGCCAGAACTCCTGAACTGACTTTTGCAACTGATTGACGGGGGTTCAGTGCAAAATGATCAAATGAAAGGCCAACAAATGATTTTCTTGGGCCTTGGTTCTGTTCATGGTACTCCATAATGTGCAAGCCCCGTTGGAGACTTGCAGCCAGTGAATCAGTTGGGCTAAGCTTGCTTGACTGTAAAGAAGAACGAACTGCACTTTTTCTGGACACTTCATCACCGGGACAATCAGATACACTAAGTTTGCTTGGTGACAGCCCTGGTGAGGTAATGCTTTTTCTAGCCTTGTTGTGAATCTTTGGAGAAGAACATAACGTAGGGTCTTGCATTGGTGACAGGTGCGGGGAGGCACTAACTGATAGAAAAGATTTCCTGTCAGACACAAGGTCTTGATCAACTTTTGTACTGGACAACACTTCATGCTCTTCCTGAATCGGGTCTTCACAATCATCTATTACAGGCTGATCATCTTCCTCACTTGTTTTTGGATTCCCCTTAGAGCAAGGAGTGTCATCACCACTCTCTGCATCCATGAAGTCATCGAAAGTGTCTTCAGATGAGGAATGAAGCTTTCTTATTTGGTCACGCAGTTCTTGTACATCCTCTTCATCCACATCCATCTCTTCCTCTGAATCAACTTCTATGTGAGGCAAGATTAGAGAGCGATTGAGACTGACTCGCAAATTATGCAGGCTTTCACGGGCATTCTGTGCACTGAAATACCCATTCTTGCAGGGTTCAGTGTCTCCAGATTTTGTTCGTATGAGCTCGTCCTGCAAGTGATAGAACAATTAGCAAGTGTCTGTAAATTGTTGCCACTTTTATCTGCTGCTGAGGAAATACCTTCAACTGACGTATTTGATCGCTCAAACCATTAACATCATCTTCTGATATCTCATTTACTACAGCCTTGTTTGACATGAGCTTCGCTCTCTCACCGAACCGTAGCGTGCTTAAAGTTGTAGTTCTGCACCTGCATTTGCCAGTCACAGGACTCTATGTCAACTTAAGAGAATGTAAATGGCATAGTGAAGTACATAAGGTAATGAACAGAAAATACCTGTGTTCTGAAGAAATGGAACACAAGAATGTAACCCTTGAATTTCCACCTAGTGTATCCTTCAGCACATGCGTCAAACAGGATTGCTTGTGGGGAGAGTCATCTTTCTGGGTCTCTGGTGCTTCTGATAGAATATTGACGAGTTTCCTGAAGTAACAATGTAAGTCAGTCTTCTGCTTTACTACATGTTTTTATTCTTATCACTATATGTTTATAATATATTTCTCCAAAGAAAGCAATTATCACTATATGCAAACAGATTATGAGGGAGAAATCGGTGAACATGAAAAAGAAACATTGAAGAAATTTTACTGATGAATTTTCATGAGACATCAAAATTCCTGCCAAACAAGCCATCTTATAAATTTACATACCCAAGCTTTGACAAGGACTTCTTAACATATCTTTCTTCTCTTGTACAGTGCTTGTTGCCACCATCAAGTTCATCATTATCAGGACCAGCAAGATCAACGAAGGTAATTCTGCTGGTCCGTGAGCTGCTGAAGCCATTTGAGAAACCCTGTAATTTGGTTGAACAAAGTAAATTCCCAATATAATGACAACATGTATATTTGCTGATCAATTAGTGAACTTAAAAAACAGAATAGAATAGACCAAAGAGCAGACTGATTTTCTAAATGCTATAATACTGACATTATTATTGCAATAATAGAAGTTAAATATAGCTGGCTATGAGGTCTCCAAATAACAGAAGAAATAAGAGAGGTTTAATTTACCTTGCTCCATGCTTCAATGACACAACTGAATATCACATGAGAACGTGAACTCTTCAAGTTCATACTCGTAGTACCAACTTTTCTGTTTGAAAGGCCCTGTAAAGAAAAGCAAGCTCAGACAAGCAATCAATAATTCTGGAGGAGAAGGTAGTGGGGTTCAGTTGTTAGAAGTACAACATGAAACAAATAGTTTTGAGTGAGCATGATACAAGTACTAATATATGCGATCTAAACAAGCTCAAGCAGAAGTCCTGGTTGTGATACTCATCTATGCAGAGGTGAAATGAAAAGCAAAGAAACCCTAATTTTAAAAGCAAAATAGAATGGACAATTTCTTTCTGCTGCTGATGTGAAGCAACATAGATCAAAATTGTCCCACTGATTTGAAGTATAGTAGAAGCAATTTCTTGGGTTGGTTTTATTGGATAACTCCGTGCCATAAAAGAATAAAGATGATTTTCGGAACAACTTGACCAGTGCCCATAAGTTAGCACCAGCTAAGCAAAATGTTTTGGATCTTAACGAAACAATCATGTAAATAGCTGTAAATAACTTCCAACATTTTTTCACATAATGCTGACTTCAAGCTACAAATCCCTAGCTATGTTTTCTGACAGAAATCTGCAAATTAGTGCAGCAACTTCCTGAACAAATCTGTAAAGCATCACAGTCTACAAGTAGACAGATAATGCAGTGAGGTGGAAGTCATTTTGATCATACCTTCATCAAGATCTGATTGACGTCCTCAACCGTTGACACATACTCATCGGTCAAGTTCTCAACATGGATACCATTGCCAGCATTCTCTCTTATCTAAAATAACGGAGTTGGATAAGTTTACTGCAATCCATAAGCATACGCCAAATGCAGAGTTAGTTTCTTGCTCAAGATTAGAATATACCTGAAGGTTACGCTGAGATGGATCCAACAGGTCATTAATCTGCTCATTATGTACCTGGAAAGCATAGAGCAAAATTTGCACCATGTCAGATCTGGAAACATAGTTTAAAAGCTGAACTTCAGGGAAAACAAAAACACGCATCTATAGATGCATTTTTCAGTTCAATTGAGAACGAGCAGATGAGTCACTACTCACCTCAAGAAATGAGCACCGGCATTGGTAGCTTGTCTGCTTCTCCGGTGAGCTCTCTTGCCTCTGCACCAGGAAAGAACAGCATTGAGACCACAAGGAAATCACAGGTTTAATCAAATTTCTACAAAACCAGACGGCAGAAAATGCCTTACGCCTTGGATTTGAGCGAAGAGGTTCTGGAAGACGCGAGGAACGACGCCCCTGTCGGCGTGGTCTGAGCTGCTGTCAACCATGGCCGCGAGGGCACCGAACATGGTGTACGTCTTCCCTGTGCCGCTCTAACCACAATTCCAACACACAAAAGCAAAGTTTCAGAAGCAGTAACGCAGAAAGAAGAAAAAAAAAACATAACTCCAAACTGAACAGGAAGGATGAATCAGAGGAGGTACCTGGCCGTAGCACACGAGGGAGGAGTTGAATCCAGCGAGGGCGCTCTCGATCATGGGCACGCCAATCAGATCGAAAGCATCCGCCTGCCAGGGAACACCAAGATTCATCACAGGATTCGTTCAAGAGCACCTGGAATTGGAGGAATGGGAATAATGCAAACCTGAGAGGCTCTGTCGTCGAGGAAGCCATCGACGGCGAACGACCGATCGCCGACGGCGACGGAGCAGGGGGAGGTCTTGCGGACGAAGAACAGATCCTTGCCGTCCACCGGCCGGCTCACCGTCGGCCGCACCCGGACCACCACCTGCACACGACCTCTCGCGCATCAGGAGAGGCTCACAACTTGGTAGGAAAGGGATTTCCGGCGAGCCGGCGAACTTTACCTTCACGGCGGGTGCCTCGTTGGCGGGCGCAGAAGCCTGCTCCCCCTCGGCGGCGGCCTTCGAGGGAGGAGCAGCGCTGGTCGGGACGGGCTTCGACGACCGCGGCGACGCGCCCGGCGCCGCCGAGGAGTTCTTGGCGGCGGGGGACATCGGCGGCGAGGCGGCGGCCAGGTTTGGGTGGAGGTTCTCCTGGTCGGCGTCGGCGGCGGCGACAGCGCCTGCCCGCGGCGAGGACACGGCGAAGGCGGAGAGTGACCGCGACGCCTGCCGCTTCAGGTTCCGCCTCAGCATCTCCATTGCTCCTCTGCTGCTTCACGGCGAGATCGAAATCGAGATGGTTGAGGGGAGAGAGAGAGATCGAAGAAGAGGAAGGAGACAAGTGAGAGGAGAGGAGACGACGGCGAGGAGGCGGCCGCGCGGTGGCTTGTAGTAGGATGCAGATGCGATGATTGGTTTGCCCGTTGGGATTCAAAATAATTTGAAACCGGATGCGCGGGGGGGGGGGGGGGGGGGGATGCGCTCGATCACGGGATGGACGGTTAGATGATTGCCGCGTCAGTGGGGGCTGCCTCTTCTAGCGTGGACACTGGACAGCGCGTCCAAACTAGCCGTTGGGGAGCGGGGGTAAAAAAAAAAAAAGGCCAAACCGGCTATGCGTCCGAGGTAAGGAAAGATAGGCGCCCAATCATAGGCGATTATTTGGTTTAGAAATTACGGTTAATTGTGTCATCATAATCATAAATTTACAGGTTTGAAAAAAATCAATACTATTTACAAAATTATACAATGCCATTATAATTTAACAGGTCTTCGAGATATACCATCGATTTCCCCTTCACCGTAATTTCTAAATTTTTCAAATCAAATTGACATCGTCTTCTTCCTCCCCTCTTTTCTTCCTCCTACCCATTTCTCTTTTCATCTCACCCCTCCTCTCTCTTCCACTGGAATGGTTGCACTATCCTCTCCACCGACGAGCACCATTGGGGGACGGAGATGGAAACATTTCTCTCGCTCGAGTTCCCCATCGATGAGCCCCATAGATTCGGTGTAACATCCTTAAATTTTAAACTAAAATTTGACAGCATCATGCTGGCTTTTGACTAGATTAGTAAAATTTAAAAGTTTATTTGAATTTCTTTTGATCTTTATTTTGGTTCAAGTATTACTTCTTTAGAACCCTATTAACTTACCCTAATTAATTCCCCTTATCCTAGACCTTGGTGAATTTGAGCAAATTTTCTCAAATTTCAAACTTTAGATTATTTCTTTAGTTTACCCTTGTATTAGTGAGAGTTTGCTATACTCTAAAACCCTAGTGAAACCCTTCCAAACTTATGATTAAATTCATTCTCTTCTAGGAGAAATATTCAAAATTTCTTAAAAACACTGTTCACAAATCCTTTGCAAAGTCTAGATTTGGTCCTTGGGGACCACAACCCACTCAAAAACCATGGTTCACTTTGCCTTCTCCTCTCCTTTGATTGCGCTACCCTGGCATCCGACTTCGCCGCATGCCGAGCCGCCGCGCGTCGGCTTCGGGGCCGTTCGCGCGTGCCTGACCGCCTTGGCGCGCCGCTAGCCGTTCGACGCCCTCAGACCACCGCCGCCGCACCAATCGTGATGAAGACGAAGTTAGGACGACCTCCGCCGCAAGTTACCGCCGCTCGACGCCGTGCACGCCCGTCCAAAGCCGCCGCCGAGTCCGAGTTTGCTTCTACCCGGGGTGAATCGCGCCAAGTCTTGCCGCACGGTTAGATTGAAGATAAACGACGGCTTCCCCTATCACAATTCAAACCAACCATCGCCGTGCCGACCATTTTAACCCTCGCCGCCGCCGCGCGTCGAGCTCGGATTGGCGCCAACACGTCGCCAGCCGTTTTCACCCGCGGTCAAGTCAATCCTTCGCCAGTAAGAATTCGAACATGGCCTCCCGCCACTCAAATTAATCTTGCCCTCCCTCTCACAGCCCTCTGCCACCCCTGCCATGCCTAATTTCTGAGCTCATTAATGGCGTTGATGGCGCCCGAGCTCATCCGCTTCCCCTGGCCCTATAAATAGGACCCCAATCCCTTTCTTGTCCATCATCGATCATCATCAACCATAACCCCACAACCCCGAAGCTCTACTTTGCCAATCCATACCATCAACCACTTCCGCTCGTCGGTGAACACCTTGTGCGCGATCGACTTCATGCCCCTCCATCCACCCTCCACCCTAACTAATTCATAGAACACCTATATTCAATCATGTTCTAGCATACTAAACCCTAACCGAAGCTTTGCATCGAGTTTCACCTCGTCGCACTGAGCCGAGCACCGCCGCCCCTGCTCTGCTCTATTCTTCGCCGCCAAGAAGTTTTTTCGACCGTAATCCGTTGTTTCAACCGATCTCGGTGAGTTCTTCCGTTTTAACCATCTACATACTCCCTAGAGTCCATTTTTGCAATCGGTTTGCACTGCCATACTTCCCTCTTGGCTGCCAACGTGAGCTCGACCGCCGCCAATGGAGGCGCTCGTCGGCAGATGCCTTCCACACCTTGCCGAAGGTCGGCAAGCTACCTAAACCCTTCTAAGTACCTCTTAGATGCTCTAGGAACCCTCCTTGAGCTATGCCTAACTCTTACCACCCCGATCACCTTCACGGCCTATCTATGTCACCGCCGCCCTAGCCGCTAGCCCACCCACACATCAAAATAACCCCTCCACCGCTACTCGCCGTCGCCGGAGAACCCTAGCTACCTCCCCTCCTCGGCCGCAACCCCTTTCCCCCTCTATCACCGCCGAAATCCCTAACCCTAGCGCAACCGGCTGTATTTGGGGAACGGCTGGAGGTTGAAGAAGAGAAGAGAGAGAGAGACTGACATGTGGGACCCGCTCACAGTGCCATTTCATATTTAGTTTGATTTTCAAACTTTAGAAGTCCATATCTTTTAAAATATAGATCCAATTCCAATGAAACTTGGACCAAAATTCTTCTAAAATCATTCTTTATCTTTTGAGACACTTTTGTTATTTTTCTATTTTATTTTATTTTTCCTATTTTTGGATTTTATTTGAATCCATTTTGAATTTGAATTTTATATGTCTAACCCTAGGTGTTGAGGATTCTTCTGACACACTAGATAATACCAGTCAATCTCAAGACATCAAGCAAGTCAAGTTACTATTTACCTTTTGATCATTTAAGCCTGTATTTTACAAATTATTTATTTATAGCTCTTCTATTCAACACTCTATTTTATATGCATAATTTAATTATAGAAACCCAGATAATTTAGTATTGCTTATTTTGCTTACAATCTAGTTAAAATATCTTACACTTAGATTGGGACAATACGTTAGAATTGGATGATTTCCAGGTGGATAGTACTATCTCGATCGATATAGTTACTACCAGGTACTTATGTCAAACGAACGGGTACGACCGCAGTTTCTAGAATGGGAACAGACCTAGTTATTATGTTATTTAGCAATGCGGTACCTCTATATAGTGGTTCTTATTTTTATTTTTAAGTCCTCGAGCAGGAGGCAACTATAGCCGCGAAGGGAAAATTTCACCATTACCATGTACATGTAAATGGTTTGTGATACTCGAGTATAATTATAAGTATAATGTTAATTCTAAACCCTGATCGAGATGACGTGGTGTCATATGATCAGTTCCCCTTAAATACCCCGGGAACGCCAGAACTCCTCTCGCTGCTGTTAACGTCACATTCAGAGCGTATGAGGATATAAGTTCATGGAACAGGTACCACAATTGTTAATAACCTAATACTGGGCCATGACTAAGCTAATGAATATTGGCAAGTCGTGGACTGCGGGTAAAGCGTACATCTGCTGCAGTAGAATATTTATGAAACTATTCGAATAGCTGTACTCGCGGAATTGAGTACCGGGACTCATATGGTACCCTGGTTAGAAACCTAAAGTCTACATATTTACAAACTTTTGCTTTAATACTTCCAGATTGTTTATTATTGCCTTTTGCAAAGAACTCTACTCTATACCAATGCATAACATGTTTCCATGGTAACTTGCTGGGTATTGTGAATACTCACCCTTCTCTTATAACCCCTTTTTCAGATTTGGGTCAAGAGGAGGACCCCTATGATTATTACTATGATGACCCTGATAACTTAGAAAATCCCGAGAGGTTATACCTCCCTAGTTAGAATGTATAAAAACTTCCGCTGTGTAATAGTCTTACTTATGTTTAATTATGTGAGTACCTATTATTGTAAAACCCTTAGTATTGTAAACTTTAACGTATGCAATGAAGAACCAGCTATATTGTATGTATCAATATTTACTGATCCAGGGATTGATACATTAATCTCAGTCGGATCCAAGTCATTAGTTTTGGGACCCGATATTCGGTCTTCGAGGTAGCCTGGGATTCGAGTGATGAGGACCGATGGAGGGCAACGGGATCCGTGGAGAGGCAGAGGTGGATGACAACGGGGAAGGAACCGTGGGAGATGGTGCCCTAGCGACGGTGACATCAAAGATGAGTCATCCCATGGGAGGAGCAACCATGGAGGGCGACGACAACATTGACTAGCACGGAGCCGATGGAATGTCATCGAGAGACCAGGGGACGGAGTCATCGTGGACTCGTGGTGCACATCCCCTTCGAAGACCAGCCCCGTTGCTGGTGCCCTGGAGTTCAGCTCGAGCCGAGGAACCTCAACTCACTCCAGTCATTGCTTCTCTTTCACGTTCTCCCCGCGCGTCTCTCTTTTGGATCCTAGCCTGCCGCCCTCCACCCAACACCCTCCGGTGAGGAGGTTGAGTTCGCCGTGGCCAACGACGGTGCGATGCACATTGCCTGCACTGCCGTCACACGCCCTGATGCCGTGCGAGACAACGTGGTGATAGGAGAGAGAGAGAAAGGAGAAGAAGATGATGTAGGAAGAAGATGAGGGCAATTTAGTCAGAAAATGGAAATTTCAACGAAGGGGTAAGCAATGGTACATCTCAAAGGTATGTTAAATTGTAATGACATGCATTCAATTTTATGAATAGTAATGGTATTTTTCCAAACCTGCAATTTTATAATGCCATAGATCCAATTAACCTTTGAAAATAATAGAAGAAAAATCAAGAGTAAATTGCACTAACGGTCCTTAAACTTGTAAGCATGTTTCACCTAGGTCCATGAACTTAAAAATCGCGCATTGAGATCCTCTAACTTGGTTCATTGTATGTATCATTCCGGTCTAAAACCTCGTTTGACCGTGGTCTTGCCCATGCGTGTCATGCCACGTGGACGATGACTTGGCAAAATATCCCCTTTCCCCATTCTTTTCTCTTCTTCCACCACTCCTCCACCACTGGATATATCAGCGGCGATGGCAGGCAAGCAGCAGCGAGAGAGATGGCGCTAGCCACCACCGGTGGCGGGGTTGGCCCGACAGCGGAGTGAAGGCTCGAGGCTGGAGCTGACGATGACAACCGCGAGCTCCCTGCTCTCTCCCATCGTTGTTGACGAGACCGTGTCGGCGGTCAAGGAGGCTGCCGTCGCCGTTGCTTCTTCAAATCCGACGGCCCCCACTTCAAATCTACTCAAGTGGCATCAGCGCTCGTTCGAGGTGTGGGGCTAGCGATGAGGACGAGATGGAGCCGTGGCGGGCTAGCCTCTTGAGGTGGAGCGGCAGCGTGGCCTCGAGATCCTCACCGCCGGCTTCCTCTCCCCTCTTCCCGCACCATGGAGGCCATCGAGGAGGCCGTGGGCATCCCAAGCTGCTGACACTGGCCGAGATTGGTGATGTGAGCGAATAGGAATGCAGCCGTGTTCCTCTGCGGAGATAGCGGATCGATGGGGACGGCCGCGCCATGGCCTCGTCGGCTGCGGTCCCCCACGACGATGACAAGCGGAAGGGTGGGGCTTGGGAGGAGGCTGAGCTCAGGAGGCTCCTCAAGCAGCTGGGGATCCTCTCTTCCCCTCCTCTCCGGTAGGCCGGTGAGCTCCTCCCGCCACTGGCTCCCGATGAGCAAGGCCGCTGTCACGAGCGGTCTCAGTGGCGGACCCGGCTGCGGCAACAGGAGGTGGTGTGCCCTCTTGTGCAGACACTGGCTAACGGGTGACGGTGGTTGTGTGCTGGAGGCAAATGGTCGCCGTCGCCATCGGTAGAGCAGATAAGAAAGGAAGGGGAACGAAGGAGGAAGAAGATAAAAGGAGGGGAAGGAAAAAAAAAGGTGAAAAGGGAAAATTTTGCTATGTTATTGTCCACGTGGCATACCACGTGGGTAAGACCATGGTCAAATAAGTCTTTGGACCTGAATGATACAATAAACTAAGTTAAAGGATCTCAATGCGTGATTTGTAAGTTCATGGAACTAGGTAAAACCCACTTACAAGTTTAAAGACCGTTGGTGCAATTTACTCAAAAATCAACTATGCTAGGTTAGAGTTCCCGATTGGTAGCCGTAGACAACTGAACAAATCATGGATACAACTTTAATTCATGGAGTAGTAGTCTAAAAGCTAATGTTACAAATAGACTATGCTAGCTTAACCGGTTAGGTTTCTTGTGATGAAAACCATTTCACCTGATATGGGTGCTTATATTTACGGGTAATTATTTTTCTAGTAGTAGCTAGTAGGTGATACACGTGTAGTTAGGGAGGCACCTATAGTGATTTCGTCAATCTTAAAATATTCTAGCACAATTTGTCGGAGGTGCTCACCGATGGTGACTTCCTTAATCGTCTTTTATATGTGTTCATAGGGGTAGGATGTGCATGTGTATAGGTAAATGTGGTCAAAATTCATTTGCAAAATATCAAGAATTTAGCAAATTAAATATTCCACGGGCCAGGTCCAACCGAGCTAATCCAAAGGGAAAAAGTATATCGAAGGTCCTTTATGTTGTCATCGGATTATAAAATCGTCCTCCAAATACAAAACTAATATATGGCATCCCTAATCTTACAAAACCGAATCACTTTAGGCAGTTTTAACTCCGGTTCCGACGTGGCAGCTGAGTAAACATCAGACCCACGTGGACCCCACATGTCAGCCTCTTCTCTTCCCCCCTTTTTCTTTTCTTTCTTCTCTTTTTTTTTTCTCTTTTCTCCTTTGTTGCTTGCGTGTTTTGACCGAGGGAGAGAGGACCACCGGGGATTGAAGGGAAAACGACGTGCAACAGGGAGCGGCGCGGCTGGCGGCCGGCAGGGTAGGGCAGCGGCATAGCATGTCCACGATCTTGCGCCTCCCGCCCACCACCATGCTTCGGATTGTCTCTGATACGAGGCCGACGAAGGAAAAGCCATCGTAGAGGATAAAGAGGGCCGAGGGCGGGGAAGGCGATGGAGGCGGCCCTGGGGCAAAAGTCAGCGAAGTGGGGCAGCCCTTGAGGAGGATGTGGCACGCGGCCGGGAAGTGGAGCACGCTGGGGACGCAGCAAAGAGGTTTCGGATGGCTCCGCGAAGTTTCCCATCGCCGCCGTAAGTTGCTCATAGGTGAACACCCCCTTGACCGGAAATGGTGGGGCTGCGCTGCTGCTATGGGGATTCGACTGCGTCGGTCGAGGCATCTCCTCCGGCGGCGACACCGACCTCGATCTGGCGGTGACATCGACTCGACGCCGGCGGCTAAGGTGTGGAGGGCGTCTCGACCTCAATCAAGCCGACGCCAATCTCCGCCGCTCCTTCCTCGTCGGCCGCGCTGACATCTTCCCCACCACATCGATGATGCCACCGCCGCCGCATCGGCCCTCATCTCTGCCGCGCTCCTCCCCCGCCAATCGTTGGCCGCACCGGCCCTCCCCTCCGCCGTGCTGCCCGCACCACCGTGCGTCGCCGCCTCACCCCGATGACGACACGTGATCACGGCAATGGTGCCGCACGGCACACGGAGGAGGAGGGAAGGTAGACGACCGCCGCGGCCATCCGCGCGACGGCAGCTATCGGCAACGCCGTTTGTCGCATGTACCTCCTCTTCGCCGCGCTCCTCCCCCGCCAGCCGCCGGCCACGCCGACCCTCCTCCCCACCGCATCAAAGACGCTGTCGCCATGACGAAATGTGATGTACTTTTTCCAATCCAAAATCCGGGCTGAAATGTAGCCTGCCAGACCAATCGTGGGAAGCGGCCCAGAAAGGCCTAGGCCCAGTCAAGGCAGCTGATCCTTCAAATCAAATCTAATCCACCACAAACGACTCCAATTCTAATCGTGATGAATTGTGCCCTAATCCTGATCCTATCCGCCTCGGACTGTTCGCGGCCGCGTGCGTATATATAAACCGCGTCGGCTTCCCACCGGCCGCAGCAAGAATCGATCGCGATGGAGATTATGCAACAGCTCGCCGCCGCCGCCACCGCCACCGCCACCGCCACGGCAACGCCCCTGTGCCTTCCTGAACCCCCTCCGACGGCGATGACGACGGCGCAGGTGGAGGCCGCCATCGCGACGCTGCACGGCAAGAAGCAGGGCCTCCGCGAGGCCTACGACAGCCTCGTCCTCCACTCGCCCATCCCCCTCCCCTTCCGCTGGTCCGACCTCGACTCCCACCTCTCCTCCCTCCAGTCCTCCATCCACGCCCGCTTCAGCCAGCTGCAGGCCCTCCAGGCTTCCCGCCCCGCGCCCCCCGCCGCCGCCGCCGCGAGCCACGACGAGGACGTCGAGATGGAGGACGTCCAGGAACAGGGAGAGGACGAGGTGATGGCGCCTCCGTCTACGGTGCAGGTCAAGGAGGAGCCTGTGGAGGCGGCGGCATGCGCGTCGAATACCGCCGGCGAGCGTGCCGGTGTCGGGCAAGATGGGTTCGTTCGACCCGGCGGGATGGCGGCGGCGAAGATGGCGTCTCCGTCAAAGGTGCAGGTCAAGGAGGAACCCGTGGAGGTGAGTCCATCTCCTCCGGCCGGCGCCACGGGTCTTACGGCGGCGGCATGCGCGAGCATGGACGCCCCGAGACTAACCGACGTCTGCAAGCGCGCCGGCGGTGGCGGCGGCCAAGGTTTGTGCGCGCGAAACGGTAGTGGTACAGCGCAGTCACCCCCGATCCCTAGTTGCCCTGTGCTCCAGCAGCAGCACACGGCCGGCGCCCCGAACGGCAGCCACCCTGTGCTACGGCAACACGCCGCTAACGCCATGAACGCCGGCCACTCGGCCGCGTTCCGGCCGCAGCAGCACATGGGTAAACCCCGGGACACGTGTGACTTGCGGAAGGCCGCCGCACCGAACACCGGAGATCGCCTGCCGCTGCAATGGCGGCAGCAGCGCGTGCACGCTAATCTCACGTGCCCCTTGCCGCCACCGGTGGTCGCGGGCTCCTCCTCCTCGCCGCCACAGCAGCGCGTGGGCGTGTTCCCCTCGCCAACGCCGCAGATCGTGGGCTCCTCGCCGCCGCCGCCATCACAGGCGCGCGTGGGAGAGGCTAATGTAACGAACCCATCGCGGCAGCAGTTCACAGCTAGCGCGCCACACGCGGGCGATGGCCAGCTCCAGAAGCGGCCGCCGTGGCAGCGGCTGCAGCGCGTGGGCGTGGCTAATCCCATGAACGCCGGTGACCTGCCGCCCCAGAAGCCGCACTTCACGGCCAACGCAAGAAACGCCGGAGAACACCCGTTCCAGGAGCAGCAGCAGCCGCCGCCCGTGGCCAAACCCACGGACGCCGCCGCCGGTGACCTGCTTCCTCAGCAGAAGCAGTTGATGGCCAACGCACCAAACGCCGGAGAACACTTGCTCCCGGAGCAACAGAAGCAGCAGCCCGTGACAGCTGCAAAACCCGCGAACGCGCCGCCTCTGCAGCACGCGGCGAACGCCACCAACCCAGCCGTTCTCCGGCGGCAGCGGCAGCGGCAGTGGGTTCGACTTCGACCACCGACCGCCACTAACCTGCCGCAAACGAAGCAGGAGCAGCATCATCTGTTCATGGCTGACGACGGCGCCAACGCCCGCAATCCCCTGTCGCCGCCGCCGCCGTGCGGCATGGCCAAACCCCCCAACTCCGGTGACCCGCTGACGGATCAGAACAATCAGCAGCTCATGGCGAACACCCACTCTGCCCCTACACCGGTTTCCACACCATTGGTTGCATCGAACCAGAGTGAATCATCAGCCATGACGACGACGACGACGACGAACAGCAACCAAAACTCCGGCGGCGGTCGCACCGGCCCGCAACCCGTAGCGGCCGGCGCTGCTCCAAATCCGGCCGGCAACCAGCAGCAAGGGCAGCGGAAAGGTGGTGCAAACAGGCGAGGCGGACGAGGCCAAGGCAACAAGAACAACAACGTTGCTAATACCAATATTAGCAACATGAGCAAGGTGATTGGCAAGGGCAACAAGGGGCAGGGCAATGGAAACCCCCAGCTCAACAAGAATGGGAACCCCCAGTTCAACAAGAACGTGCCGGGTGATCATCACCAGAAGAACAAGAATGCAGGGCAGCTTTGCTACAGGTGCGGGTGCAGGGGGCACTGGTCGCGCATCTGCCGCACTCCTGAGCATCTGGTGAAGCTTTATCAGCAGGACAGAAAGGCCAAACTGCAAGCAGGAGCGAATACGAATACGGTTTATGTGGGAGCCATGACGGATTAGGGGTTATAAGATGGGTACATTGATTATATATCTTTGTGCGTGTAGCATACCCATTTTCGAGTTATCTTAATGTTATCGTACTAGACATGCTTTTCGTGTTTCCTACAGCATTTCCCCCCCTCAAATTCTTAGTTACAGTTATGTTATCGGTTTTTATGTTAGATCTATATTCTAGTATCATTTTATTCTGGTAAAATTTGATATAAGACATCATAGTGTTGTGTCATTTGCCATAACACACTTAAAAAAAATGTTTGTTTGTTTGTTTTTGTGTGTGTCCCCTGGCCACATGACACTTTGTTTTGGTGGTAATGTGCTAAAACACTACAACTACTCCATCCAGTTCAAATTACTTGTGATTCTACATATGTCCAAAGTTGAATATATCTATCTTTCACAATCAATTTTGAAATTCATACATTCTTATGACATGCAAATTACATATTACTCCTATGAAAGTATTTTTCATGATGCATCTAAAAGCATAAATTTTATGATGTTTGACCATATAAACTTCTAGACTCCATGGCTCCGAATCTCCTTCCGGTGCCCTACGTCTCAGGGGATTACACACGGTGGCCTCCACCCTTGCCGACAACTACTGGGTAAGGGACATCCGTGGCGCCCTCATTGTCCTTGTCATCTCCCAATTCTTGATGGTCTAGGATGTGGGTGCTTCCTACCTAGCTCTCTCCGGGAACTGGAGACTGTCTTGTATGGTGTTGGACGGGCAACCAGTGCTACTCAGCCCGCTCGCCCTATCATGCTTTATTGCTGGGCAACTCCCCTTTCCTTGCACCGAACTGCTGTGGCAGGCTGAGGGCCCTGCCAAGTGCAAGTTGTTACTTTGGCTTGCATTCCAGCAACGCTGCTGGATGGCAGACCTTCTGCAGAAGCGTGGCATTGACGGCCACTCGGCCTGCCCCTTTTGCGCGAAGAAACTTGAAACGCCGAATCACATCCTTCTCGATTGTGTGTTCGCTCACCAAGTCTAGCTGGCCTGGGCTCGCTCCTTCCCGTGGCGACACTCTTCAGGGCTGGTGGTCATATGCTAGGGTCTACTTGCCTGAGCACCTTCACAAGGGCTTCGACTTTCTGTTCCTATCCTGACAGCTTTGGAAGGAGTGGAACGTCAGGGTTTTTGATTCTTCCCTTTCGCTGGTCTAGGTGGTGTTGGGGTCCATCCTCCAAGAGGACCATCTCTGGTCTTTAGCTAGTGCCGCTTTGTTTGGGGATTTGTTGGGAGGATAGGGGGTTCCTTTTCGCATCTTTCCCTCTGTCTAGGAGCAACAGCTTTAGTTTTATCTTTTCCTTTTTGTTTGCCCCTGCAGTCCCTTCCTTGTAACTTGGCAAGAGCCGGTCCGGCCCATTGCGTTGTAATGTCAAATTCTAGAAATTAATGGTCAAAAGTACAAATATTTGACTTAGGACAAGATTAAAACAACAACTAATTTGAAACGAAGGTCAGTATTATTTTTAACATGTTTCGGCTCAACTAGAGAAATAAATTTTTGGAAAGGACGCTTTTATCACCATGGCGTGTAGCAGCGAAGCAGCCTCATGGAGGTCGAGATCAACATTGACATTACAATTTAAAGAAAGTCATTTGCTGATATTTTGCTGATACTTACAATAGACTTTGCAGGAGAAGAATGCAAAAAGAAATATGCCCAACAATACTGATGGTGCCCAGAGTTTCATTTCATAAAAAGATTGTGCCATAATTTACTTCCATACCGAGCCAGCTCTTCTGAATCCTTTGGCCACAGCTTTGTATTCAGACTGTATTTGATCGAGAGACTGTTGGTTCTTTTTATAGCAGCAGGAAATCAAGTTGGTTCCAAGGCATAGGCGCACTACATGTCCATTGATTAATCTGCGTTTCGTAAAAAAAAAAAAAGCCAAAGAGTTAATCTGTGATCAGAAATACCAGCCCAGTCAGCGTTTGAACAGGCTGCCTTCTCTGAATAGTAAGCCTAGCACAAGCTATAATCTTTAGAGATCAGCAAGATCAGTTATGTAGCCGACCAGTACAGTAACTTGTAAACACTGAAATACTTTTATTAACTGAGTAATTCTGAGTATTTTAATATCTCAGATCCTGAATGTCTGAAACCACAAAGTCCACAATACTTAGCTAATAACTTGTCTGAACATGACATATGATGATAGGAGCTGCAATGCAATCAGTTTGGCAAATTGCATACCAATCCTCTGTAGCAGATCATTCATAATTTGGTATAGGAGTATATACTTCTTTTGGGTCAAGTTCACAGTTCACACCACCTCCAGGTTTGCGTATTTGTTTCAAAGCCCAGAATATATGACAGCTTCCCTGTAGCCTTGAGGGCAAACAGCCAAACATGGCTGTAATTTGCTGAATTAGTGCAGTGTCAGATTCTGCATATTTTTTTTCAGAAACTGGGCATATTCTGTAGATGAAGTAACAATAACAATATGATTCACATAGACAAGGTCACAAGGATATAAGTGGTGACAGCATATTGATGGAAGATAAAGAGAGAAGTTTCAGTTTTGGTTTGTGTAAAGCCCAACTCCTGCAACTCAGTATCCAGTTTATTTCCATACAACTCATCTAGTTTCCATAGGTGTGTTGAGTGAGCAGGACCAATGAAACCAGGTGGTTATTGCATATATACATCTTCACAAAGGTCACACAGCAGAAAAGAAGAAACTATAGCATAAATTTTGGCTAAAGATCAGCCATGCAAAACTACTGCTGGCGATAATATTAGTCACTGTAGCAGGTCTGACAACCGGACTAAAGGTGTCGTCAACAGGAAGAGGATTTTGATGCCTCTAGGGGATATCCTCTCGTTGTTTACATGTCACTCAAATGGTTATAAAAAAATTGGAAAAAAAAATTAAGAAGATGTATTAATATGTGATATATCACTCCACAAACATGCAAGTAAAAATTCAACTTCTACATCTCGCAACGAAAAAAACAAATTTGACTCTGAATATACATTAACTAGCTGCGGTTCAATTTGTTTTTTTCGTTACGAGATGTAGAAGTTGAATTTGAACTTGTATATTTGTGAAGTGTTATATCACATGTTAATACACCTTTCTAATTTTTTTCAAATTTTTTATAACCATTTAAGTGACATACAAAGAACGAGGGGATATCCCCTCGAGGGATTAAAACAGTTTCCCTCGTCAACACATCATAGTCCACACTGTATCCATGGCTTCTTAGCGGATAACGCACATTATTCTGCAGTCTTTGTCTGCTCCTCACACAATACAGGTTTACGTGCAGGTTGGTTGTCTGAAGATGAAGTCGTTGCTGATAAGGTAAGTTGCAGTTAGCAAGGCCTCATCCGAAAAGCGAACAGGAAGAGATGTGCTAGAAGAGTTAGCCTAGTCTATGCAATGTGTATGTGGGCAACACACACTGACACACGATGTGAATCTGTGCAAGTTTCAGAAAGAATTTGTGCAATCTTCAGGTCAACATCGAACCATCAGTCTGAATTGAGCAGATTTTACTATTTAGAAATCTCTGAACATATGTTTGAAACTGAAATTGAATGAACGTACACTCAATGCTCAACATCAGACCTATTCTTGAAGAGATATCTGGATCCATGTGAATCTGCTAAAATCATCAATATCAGTATGTCTGGTCCCTTCTATTTTATTAGAGAGAATCCATTATATGCCACTGACTTTGTCAGACGTCTATAATTTATCACTGACTTTGTCACATTCTACAATATGCCATCGACCTTTGCTTAACTTTTACGATTTATCATCGTTGTCCGGTTAGCCTCCGTTCGCACTGTTCATTTTTGTCCAAATGACCAAAATACCCCTAGAACAAAAATTTCCAAAATTTGGATAAAATTATCAAAATATCATATTATTAACATAAGCTTGTAAGCATCCAAAATTTGGCCAAAAACTTAAAATCTGACATTTCAGAATTTTTATCCAAAATTTGAAAGTTTTTGTCCTAGGGGTATTTTTGGTCATTTTGACAAATTTATACAGTACTAACGAAGACTATCCGGATGGCGATGGTAAATCGTAGAAGTTAAGCAAAAGTCGATGGCATATTGTAGAACGTGATAAAGTCAGTGGCAAATCGTAGACGTGTGATAAAGTCAGTGGCATATAATAGATTATCTCATTTTATTACTGTCCTCTGAAGTAAACAAAACAATTGTGTCCCGGTAGCACAACAGGGTCCTGTTTGAAAATACTGTAAGCAACTCTAATAGTGTCCTGTTTAGTAATCATGGATACAATCCTTCAAAGATTCAGGAATTGGCATGCATCAGAGAGGCACCTTCAGTATGGACAAAATGCTCTTAACATCTTCTCCATAACATAGCGACCCTCTATCAATATCTCAAGGCATGCAGTCAGCTTTGCAAAACTTCAGTGAGTGAAAGCATTTGCAAGTTGAAGATCAGTTTCTTTTCTTTTCCACAATTTCTGCATATTTACCTCCCTGATTAATTTCTTCAGTCCCAATCAGCATTGATACAGCAGCTGTCATTGGTCAGAGACTGCAATTCAAGATATTGGCACTTGTTGATAAATAAATTTACTCTATAAGTAACATCCGAATTAAAAAAAAAAAAGGACATTGCCCCTTCAGTTTGATTGTCTTCAAACTTAACAGCACTTGCCCATCAATTTTCTTCTTTTACAAATAATTCCTTCAAAAATAAGAAGGCGTATGACCAGCACCAGTTTAAATCAAATTCCTAACAAGTATCCCCAAAAGTATCCCCAAAAAAGAAGCCCGCTGCTCGCGCGGCAGCGCGCGTGAGACAGACGCTGTCTCACGCTGACGTCAGCGCCCCCAATAAATTCAAATCCCACCTTACTGGAAACATCCCACGCGCGCATCCTCCTCTCCTCTCCTCTCGACCAAGATTTCCCCCAAAACCCTAGAAATCCCCAGGCGGCGGCGCGGCGCGGCGCGCGATCGGGAGTTCCAGGCGACGATGGCGGGCGCGGATGGGCTCCCTCCCGGCCTCAGGTTCGACCCCAGCGACGACGAGCTCGTCTCCCGCTACCTCCTCCGTCGCATCCAGCAGAAGCCCCTCCCGCTCGACGGCGTCATCGTGGATGCCGATCCCCTGAGCGTGCCGCCATGGACGCCTCTTGCGGATCACACCCGAGGCGACGAGGCCTTCTTCTTCGCGGGGGCACGCGCCAAGAATGG